GTAGAAATATTCCAAAGTTTTTTCTCTCGTTTCTTTCCAACTTTTTTTCTCTTCTTCGTCAGCTGGCTCGTCTTCGATATCCTCTTTTCAATCCCGGATAATTTTTTCTTTTGCTGCTTCAAGTTCCTCTTCCTCACTGGGATCTTCATGTTTTCCTACTCACCAAAAAACAAATGGTTCTGTTTTGTATTTTTCAATTTTGCTTAGCAAACCTTTCGGGCCCAAGAAAGGATTACCGGTTTTTAAGTTTCCGCTTTCATCAAGAGGAAAAAGTTTTTCCATTAGGAAAACCACATCTGCAAATTCCAACTTACTAAAAAGAAGTTTTTTTTTGTAGGAAGTGAGCTCTTTGACTTTCTATTTTTTCGTAATATTTCTCAAGGAAATTTTCGGCAGTAACACCATCTCTTCCTACTATCATAAATCTATCTTTTTCTTTTCCTCTAATAAAATATCTCTCCATAGTTATTTTTTCAAGAAGTTTCAACGTCATTTCCTCCCCCTTTCAATCAAAAGTTGTCATTTCAAGTCTAATCGCTCATCCTCACTTTTTTTGCAACCTTTTTCAAAGGAACTCTAATTGCTTCTTATCATCTTCGCTAAAGTCGTAAAATTTGCTATTAATAGCAAAAAAAAAATCTTGAGTATCTACTTTTCAAAGCGGTTCTACGAAACGATAAGCCAACGTGGGAAGTTCAGGTAGTCTAGTTAATTTTCTAGTAGAGTATTTTAATTTGGTTTTAGAGCTAAAGGGGAATAAAAGTCTTTTGTTGGGCTTTTTTCTTATTTCTTTTTCTTCATCACTAAAATTTTTAATAATTTTCTTTAAATTAGAACTTTCTTCTATGTCCTTAACCGCCTTTTCTCAGGCAATAATTACTTGCTTTTTTGCTTTTATTTTTTCTCTTGATATTCTCACCTGGTTCTCGACTGACTCTCGTGAACTGTGGCTTTCTTCTAATTCTACCCCCCCTCACCAACAAATTTCAGGCCAAATCAAAATAATTCCCGTGCGGGGGCAAATTAAACATCCGATAAATA